TGTGTGTGTGTGTGTGTGTGTGTGTGTGTGTGTGTGTGTGTGGTACATGGGCCTCTTACTGTTGTGGCCTCTCCCGTTGCGGAGCACAGGCTCCGGACGCGCAGGCTCAGTGGCCATGGTTCACGGGCCTAGCCGCTCTGCAGCATGTGGGATCTTCCCAGACTGGGGCATGAACACGTGTCCCCTGTATTGACAGGCGGACTCTCAACCACTGTGCCACCAGAAAAGCCCTAAAAAATATTTTTAAAAAAAGAAGTTTAAATTTCATTAAAAATGTGGTTTCTTGGACATCATTCTTCCCTCTGAATAGGCAACTGATGTGGAAGGATACTGTTTGGGTGAGTCAGGAGACTTTTTTCCAGTGATGAAAGCTGCATGCATCTCAGTTTTCTTATCTATAAAACAGTAATACAGAGATAACACATGAGCTGCTGAATGAAAGGAAATATACAAGCCTAAGCTTTAAAAACAAGAATTTTGTGAAAATGTAAGATAACACATATGCTCATATCAGGGAGAATATTTTATATTTGGTAAATGCAGAATATTATCTTTTATTGGTTTACAACCTACCTTATTCTAAAGGTAACTATTCTAAAAGACTATTTCTCCACCCAAACTTCTCTCTTAAATAGGAGAGCAGAAAGTAATGGATTAAACTAACACACCATTGTAATGGTGTAACACACCACTGTAAAGCAATTATACTCCAATAAAGATGTTAAAGAAAAAAAGGAATGGATTGGCTTTCTTCTATGCTTAACTCTTTTCAATAGAGGCCTTAAAGCAGATCTAAGGCTCACTAAACAATATGTGATATGATACAAGCACATCATGAAGACTCTTTATGAATCTTAAGATTCTGTATGAACATGAAACATTTTATTTGTACAGAAAATGCTTTTAGAGATGTTCTTTTATTCTCATTTAAAGTGTTCTGAATATTTCTTTAATTTCTCCTAGAATTCATTCTTTCAGAAGTCATCTATAAATTAAAGAGCAATGTGTGGATGAAAGAGTATAAAGTTTATTAAGCCCTTATAAAATAAATGCCACAGAGAATGGCAAAAAGTCAACATATTGATCGCTAACAAATACCAGGGAGAAACTTGCATCTTCCTGCCAGGCAGCTAGTAGGCAGGGATCTTGGACTTCCAGCTTCTAGAACTGTGAGAAATAAATTTCTGTTGGTTAAGACACCCAGTCTATGGTATCTTGTTGCAGATACCTGAACTAAGACACCCATTCTTAGTAGTAAAGCTCAACCATAATTCTGTGATACCTTAGAATGTTGCCTTTTATCCCAGAATGTATTGCAAAGTTCCTATATCAAAATTAAACTTATCTTCATCTTAAAAACAAATTTCTGCTATTCAAAAGGAATGGGAACCCATTCAGTCCTGTGGGGATCAGATACCACAAAGTCAAGTACCCCCTACAACCCACAAAAATTATATTGAAATAAGTGGATAAAATTTAAATTAAAAAGTCATTATAACTGGGTTAGGGTTTGTGTTACATATACCATCAAATAATTAAATCCCACATGAAAATAAGAATAAACTTTAAACTTACACTTACTGTTAAGGTAAGTTTTGTGGACCATACGACTCTCAATAAGAAGACCAGAGGCAGGCGTTGCTTTCTCCTGCACTGCTAAGCCCTTGACACACCAAAAGCCTGGTACGAATCCAAGGCCAGGATCCGTTACTCTATTCTCTTCCTCTATTCCTAATACACCTCCATACATTTAACAAGTATTTGATGAGCACTTACTATATGCCAGGCACTTTTTAGGTGTTGGGAATAAACAAGAACAAAATCAGACACACTCCCCATTCTTTTAGATATTACAGATAATTAAAGGAGACAGACGGTAATCAAGTAATTAAATATAAGTCAATTTGGAACAATGGTGTTGGTTATGAATGAGAAATACATGGTCCTACAAGATAATAAACCAGAGGGTCTAACCATATCAAAGATGCCCAAGAAGGCTTCTCTAAGATGTGACACTTGAGCTGAGATTTGTAAGTAGGTGTTAATGAGACAAGGAGGGGAAGGAAAAGCCCAATACAATGGAGCCCAAGGGAAATGTGAATTGGGAGTTAACAATGGTTGAATAACTCCTGCCATTTAATTAAGTAGAATGTTTTCTTCTCTATTCCTTTTATGTGTTGCATTCATTCATTTATATTTATTTATTTATTTATTTATTTATTTTTGACTGTGTTGGGTCTTTGTTGCTGCGCACAGGCTTTCTCTAGTCATGGTGAAGGGGGCCACTCTTCATTGTGGTGTGCGGGCTTCTCACTGCGGTGGCTTCTCTTGTCGTGGAGCACAGGATCTAGGCACGCGGGCTCAGTAGTCATGGCTCGCGGGCTCTAGAGTGCAGGCTCCGTAGTTTTGGCACTCAGGCTTCGTTGCTCCGCAGCATGTGGGATCTTCCCAGACCAGGGCTCGAACCCGTGTCCCCTGCCTTCGCAGGCAGATTCTTAACCACTGCGCCACCAGGGAAGTCAATATTCATTCATTTATTCATTTAATTTGTTAAAAAACTTTGTGGGTTTCTTAAAAGTAGTAGAGGCATCAAAGAATGAGGATCAAACATGACAGCAGAAGTATAGGCAACAAATGTAAAAACAGACAAATGGGATTACATCAAACTTTAAAACTTCTGGGCATCAAAGGAAACAATCAACAGAGTATAAAGGCAACATACAGAATGGGAGAAAATACTTGCAAATCACATATCTGATAAGGGGTTAATATCCATAATATATAAGGAGCTCCTACAACTCAACAACAAAACCAAATAATCAGATTTTCTAAATGGGCAAAGGACTTGAATAAAAAATTCTCCAAAGAAGATACACAAATGGCCAACAAGCATATGAAAAGATGTTCAACATCACCAATAGTAAGAGCAATGCAAACCAAAACCACAATGAGATGTCAACTCACACCCATTAGGATGGACACTATCAAAAGAACAGAAAGTAACAAGGGTTGGTGAGGATGCAGAGAAATTGGAACCCCTGTGCACTTAACATTCTGGTGAGAATGTAAAATAATGCAGCCATATGGAAAACAATACTGAGGTTCTTTACAAACTTGAAAACAGTACTGCCATGTGATCTATCAGTCCCACTGTTGGGTAGATATCCAAAAGAATTCAAAGCAGGATCTCAAAAAGATAGTGGCACACTCATGTTCACTATAGCATTATTCACAAAAACCAAGAGGTAGAAGCAAACCAAAGGTCCACTGACTGATGAATGGATTAAAAAAAAAATGTGGCCTATACATACAATGGCAAATTATGAAGCCTTAATAAAGAGGGAAATCCTGCCATATGCTACAACATAGACGAACCTAGAGGACGTTATGCTATGTGAAATAAGCCAGTCCCAGAAAGAGAAGCACAGTATGATACCATGCATATGAAGTTTCTAAAAGAGTCAAAATCCGGGGCTTCCCTGGTGGCGCAGTGGTTGAGAATCTGCCTGCTGATGCAGGGGACACGGGTTCAAGCCCTGGTCTGGGAAGATCCCACATGCCGCGGAGCAACTGGGCCAGAGAGCCACAACTACTGAGCCTGCGCGTCCGGAGCCTGTGCTCCGCAACAAGAGAGGCCGTGATAGTGAGAGGCCCGCACACCGTGATGAGGAGTGGCCCCCGCTTGCCACAACTAGAGAAAGCCCTCGCGCAGAAACGAAGACCCAACTCAGCCCAAAAATAAGTAAATAAATAAATTTAAAAGAGTCAAAATCCTAGAAACAGAAAGTAGAAAAGTGGTTGCCAAGAGCTGTGGAGAAGGAGGCGGGGGAATTACTTTTTAATGGATATGGAATTTCAGTTTTCTAAAGTGAAAAAGTTGTAGACATCTGCTGTATAACAATGTAAATATACTTAAAACTTCTGAACTGGACACTTTAAAATGATTAAGATGATAAAAAAAAAAACGTCAGGGACTTCCCTGGTGGCGCAGTGGTTAAGAATCCGCCTGCCAATGCAGGGGACACAGGTTCCATCCCTGGTCCGGGAAGATCGCACATGCCGCGGAGCAACTACGCCCGTGCGCCACAACTACTGAAGCCTGCGCACCTTGAGTCTGTGCTCCGCAACAAGAGAAGCCCCCGCTCACTACAACTAGAGAAAGCCCGAGCGCAGCAACGAAGACCCAACGCAGCAAAAAATAAATACAATTAAAAAAAGAAAGTCAGTCTCACCTAGTCCCTAAATAGCATGCTACCAAGCACCAATTTGAATGAATTCCAATATTAACATAAATTCAATTAAAATAATAAAGCTGTATCTCAAAACTTTTTAAAAATGAGGATCAAGAAAACTCACTGAATTATTGAAATGTCATTGTTGACCTCTAAGAATGTTGGAACAGCACTGAAATCAAATAGTTTGACAATTCTCTAGAAAAACTGAGGTTTTCATACTCAAAACCTCATGGAATTCGGCACATTCTAGGCATTCTCGGCTGTCATTATGATCGTGCAAGTTGTGTCTGCATCCAAGTCTCTGGCCAAGGTGGCTGGATGAAATCCAGGCTGCACTCTGACTCAAAGCCAGCACCCACAGGGCTGCATCCACCGAGGTGGGCGGGTGCACCGTGTGGTTCTTTGGCTATCTGGCTGGTAGGCATTCATACTCATTTCTCAAGGTGTAGCTGAATTTCATCTCTGTGGAGACCTCCCTGACACCTTCCGTGTCCGTGGCCCTAAGCGACACATGAAGTTGTATGACAATCATCGGCATGTGGGTCTCTCTAGTGAGACTGAGTTTACTGAGGGCCCCTGTTCTGTGTCCATATGGTTAGTCCAGGCACCTGGTACTCAGGAAAGTGTTCAATGATGGTTATGGAGTTAAGATGGCTCTTGAAGGAAAATTCAAGGGGGAGGCAGGAAAAGTGGAGAGCTACAGATGAAATGTAGGAAGGAGACTGGAAGTGGGAGAGGTGTACAGGCAGCAACTCCAATGGCTCTGAGTGGAACCATTATAATGCTGGATCAAACATAAGGTACAACAGATGTACAAAGCAGGATCTTTGCATCGATGGATTACTGTAGACTTTCTCACAACCTTGTCCTATGTTGGGCACATGACAAGTGAAAAGAACCAACCTTCTCATGGGTAAGGAGGCTGCCCTTCCTACCACCTCTTTATGGGCTGCAGGAGCCCATGTTCAGCCAAGTTCTTGTAATTCAGAAAATTCAGCTTCGTTTTGCCATGGTTTTCAGGTCTTAAACCAAAATTTTACTGGTGTTTCTACCAAATCACAACCCGTGACTGAGTCTCAGCTCTCACATAATTCCCATTATGTACTTTTTTGGTGGAAGTTCTAACAAGCAATAGAACTGCAGCCCATCAAGAAATCAAGAGGGAAAACTAAAGCAAAGAGTCTGGATTTCCTATTCCAAGGATATTCAGCTTCTGAAAAATGGAGTGTCAGCTCTGAGCCTTCCTTCCCAGAGTGGGTATTTTCTCCTTGGAACTCATATCTTACTGTTCCTGGGTATAAAGGATTAACCTGCTATACTAGGTTTGAGGGATAAGTGATAGGCATTGTATAAGTGACAGGCTAACTTCTCGATGCCAAAATTTCATGGTATGTAAATGAGAAATGTACAGAAAAAGAAGACTACACACAAAGAATCTGCAAATCCAAGTCCTGTCAAGAGCCCAGAGAATTCTGTGAACTTAAAAAGACTGTGGCAGAAGCACAAGCCAGTACTGCAGAGGTTATCATTTCTTGCTCTGCGTTGTGTCCTCTGCATTGTCTAATGCACGTAAGCAAAGGAAACAGATAGTGGCTGGGCCATTTCTTTTCTTAATAACATTAATAAAAAGAAAAAGTAAGCCACATATTATCAATTGTGTGACCTCATTAGTTTACCTGCAATAAAGTGCCCAGGAAGTGCAACCTGTAGTTCTTAGCAGTCCAAAGGTTTCCTGGAGTTTCACACCCAGAACAATCTCCAACTTAACACCTAGCCTGGAGCAGAGGAAAATGGGCCAGGTGTAGAAAGATGATTTAAATTCTACCACAAATGCTGTTTTACACAAGGTCACTGCGCAACTGACAACACTATGATAATGCAAACATGGCATCTGCTACAGGAAGAAACCTCAGTGCTTTGAGAAGGAGAAAAAGCAGTTAAATTCACGGCTTTGCATTTCAGGGGTATCGGGGCCTTCTGGAGGACTCATTTTTCTACACACAAGAGCAAGCTGAATACTGTCCCGTGCGGCTTTCTTCTACTTTCATCTCTACAGTAAGTGCCTTTTCTATGAAGAGCTGCTGGCTGATGGGGAATCAGAGGCCATCAGTATGTTGGTGGCATTTCCTAAACAAATTCTGAGCTAGTTGGAGGAGTCCACAGTGACCTCCAAAGGCAGGCTCTCCAGGGGGGGAGCCAGGCCATGAGCAAGGAAGGCTGTCCATTAACGTTGTTCATGTCCCGTAAGGTTGTACCTTTATTAGATTAGACAAGAGTATATATTATATATGCTAGGCTGTTAAGCAAATAAATACGGGTAAGGAAATGACAACCCACAAAATTATATGGCTTGTTTTAACCACCACTCACCACTCAGAGTGAGTAGCTTTTCTTCTGCTTATGCCAGGGCAAACCAGCTACTCTGGCGCTGTCGGTGGGAGTAATGATCCCCTTTACTCTGCAAAGCAAGTAAGAAACAAACAGCAAATAACAGCAACCCTCAGGGGCCAGAGACACGTCAGAAAGAGTCACTCGGGGGCGTGGGGGGGAGTCCAAACCGATTTGTTGGTCCCGTATCTCTAGTTCTGGTAACGGCCCTCCGGCCTTGGGCTCCAGGTGGAGGCAGGAAGTCTCAGCGTAGCGGGAAAGAGACGCTAACTGTCCCGCGCTGGCGGGAGCCTCGCCGCCGAGGGAGCTTGATCGCGGACCGAGTGGAGTCCAGGGTCTCGCGGGAGGACGCAGACGCAGCCCGGGGCTGGGAGCCCCCTCGCGCGGGCCTCCACGAGGCGCCCCCGCCGCGGGTTTTCGCGCACGTGGCTGCGGGCCGCGCCGCACTCCCCCTCCTTGTGGGCTCCCGGAGCGGCCCGGGCGCTCGGCGGCGGCGGCGGGCGGCGAGCGGCGAGCGGCGAGCGGCGAGAGGCGTGCAGCGGGCGGCGGGCGGCAGGCGGCGGGCGGGGGCGGGCCTGCGAGCAGGGCTTCTGGCGGCTTTCCAGGTCGGCGCACTAATACGGGCGATGAGGCTTCGCGGCTCCAGTCTGACTGACGCCGACTGGGGCCGCCGCTGCCGCCGCCGCTGCAGCCGCTGTCTCGGTCCCCGCCGCCGCCGCCGCCGCCGCCGCCGGGCCCTGCCGGCGCTGGACGCGTTCAGCCAGGCGGTGAGTGCGCGGCTTTCGGAGCGGGCGGCCGGGGCACCCACCGCGGGGGAGGGGACGCGGCCGGACCTGGGTGGGGGTGGGGGGTAGGGATGAGCGGCACCACGGGGAACAGGTAAGAGCTGCCCTCCCCGGCGCGCGCTGGGCGTGTGCGTGTGTGGACGCGGGTGCGGCGAAGTTTTTCTTCCACAGGGAAGTCTTGGAGGCTCTTTGGTGTGTGGCTTGGCTCTTTGTACTCTCCATCCCTGTATTTCTTGGTGGGGCCTGTTTGGGGTGGGTCGGGGTGGGCGAGAGGCTGGAGGGGGCAGCTCCGGGGAGACGGCCGCGCGCCTTCCTCTCGGCTGCGGCCGCGGGAGCCGCCGGCACCTGGGACCTGTCAGAGGATGCTTGGCCCGCGGCGGGGGGCAGGGATGGGCGCTCGCCGTCAGCCCCCGGGCTGGGTACCGCGAGGGGCCGAGCACCGAGGACAGGCGCCGTGGAGACCCCGATTTGCCGCTGAGTAACTGTTTGCTGTGGCCGGAGGGGGAGGACAGTGGAGAAATCGGGGTGCGGGGTAGTATATGTGACTCCGCTGGCCTCCCAGGCCTTGTATCTCGTAGGGTTTTTTTTACTCTGCTTACCTTTGAGACACGCGAAGTGAGCAAAAAGAAAAAAAGAAAAGTTAGGAATGTTGTTCAAGTGTCTCTGCGCTAGCGCTTGGATTGTGTTGGGAGCTGGGGTGTTTGTCTTTTCCTTCGCCTGCTGTTCGGTGCCAACTCTCCGCGGAGGGGAGGGGGGCGAGGTGGGGAACAGATACAGGAGACTTACTGACGCCAGCATTGTGATCGGAAGGAGCAGCGAGCGTGGGGCGGCGGCGGGGGGACGGGACACATTTTTATGGATGGCTAATCGCTGACAAGTCTTCCCGTTACTATGCCTTCCTCCTCCCACTCTTGACAGTGGAAATTTGAAATGATAGTTTAGAAATACTCCGTTGACTTGTTTCTGGGCTGGAACTGGTACGCGTGAGAAATAACGTACAAATGATGTAAATCGACTTTGGGAATAAAATTGCACGTAAATCCTTTGCCCAGTAATTCACAGTCGGATACACACCCACAGGACACTGTGGATTGCTTTTAATGGATCCAATTTACAAGTACCGTTTCAGTGGCTTGCCAGATTTCTCGGATAATCTTTTGGAAGCGTTGTTGAACAGGAATAATAGAGAATAGCTGTAAAGTCATAAGGCATTTAATAATGCTACCTCCTTGGCCATAATTGAGCCAAGCATTTGGGAATCCTTCTGGGTGAGTGACATGTTAATCCTACAGGCATATCTTCTGCCTTGGGATTCCTGTCAGTGTCAGGGAATGCCATTGGATGTTTACATTTTAGAAATAGTGATCTATATTTAAAAAGGAAGTAAAAATAAAATCCAAACACATTATCCTAACTCTAAATAGACAGTTCAATAAGTAAGTATCCCTATATTTGTAGGAAACCATGAGCAGGATTTTGGACCGCTCCCAAGTTTGTGGTTATCCAAGGATACTGCAGATAAGAAAATGATGTAATCATTTATAAATAAGGAGCATTTAAAATATATTATGATAGAAGCTTCAAATAATATATCAGAAAAATAACTTTTAGTGGCAATGATCGCCTTCATTGATGGCAAGACTGCTGTCTTTAGCAGACAGCCTTCAGCTTGTTAATCTATTCTGACACAACCAACTCCCGTTTTTACGCTTCACTGGCTCTTTGCCAAAGCTGTTTTTTGCTTGAACTCTGTGGTTTCAAGCTATGTTTAAGAGAATGCCAACGTATTCTTGATCTGAGCAAACTCATTTTTATCACTATAGTGTTTGCTAAAAATCAAAGACATAAACAAATCTTAGGTTAAACCTCAAAGTACTTTGCCCTTCTCACATCTTTGTCATCAATCTTATAAAGTCAGCATGAGCTATTTGACTTTTCTCCTTTTAAAATCTTTTTCCTTTTCTTATATATCCCCAGTTAATGAGTAATCAGAAAATATTCACAGACGTCAACTACTATATCTCTGATTGCCCAAGACCATGGAATGAGAAAGAGGAGGGGTTTTTGTTGTTAATGAAACATTGCTAAGGATTCTAGAAGTAATAAACAACTGGTAAATTTGTTTATCCTTTCTAATCATGTGGTCAGTTGGAGGAGAAAAAAAAACCTGTCAAGAAATTATTTCATAAAGATTAAAATATTCAATTTCAATTTTACAAATAGTTTAATTCTTTTTAATGAGAGTTCAATTTCCTTTGCCACATTTGGAGAGTTGGTGTTTAATAAGTGGTCACTATAGCACTTAGACAACTAACTAGTTTATATCTGACATTCCCTCTGCAATAAATAAAACAGCAATTTCATCATGTTTGGCTTTAATATGTTGGAAATAATACTTGTCCACAAGTATCTGATACAAGGCAAGCTAAAAGTTATGAAAATGAAGAAGTTTGTTTTTTTAATTCGCAAAACATACTACCTTGAATTTTAAAGTTCTAATGAAGCTTAGTGCAGATTTTCTGCTCATCACTTCTAACATTTAATGAGGAATTCAGAAACAGGGAATAGTCCAGAATAAAACAGTAAATGTAGCAGTACATTGAAAGCATGAATCTCTTCAAATAGTTGTAATTCTAGGCTGTTGGGTTTATATTTCCTTGGTTACTGTTGCCAGTGAGTTGAAAAGTTATTCTAAAGGGGGAAAAAGAAAAAGCAATCAGTAAATTTGTAAGTAGTTATAACAGTATGAGCACCTTAGAATATTTTCTTTTCTGTTAACCTAGTAAATGTTCATGTCATGAGTAGGGGCATAACAAAAAATAAACAAATATCCCTTGGCCATAAACTAACATTTTCAAATAAATATTCCGATAAATGATGTCTCTTAAGAAACGCGAGCTAACTAAAGTTAAGATTTTAAGATGTTTGTTAGCGTTAGAAGCCATCAGACCCGTGGAAGTTGGATGTTCTTCTTGCCAGTGGACCTCGGCCTGACACTACCTACCCCAAACCATTCTGAACACCACCCACTACTCTCTTTTTGCATCAGCCTTGAGCTGACCCTAGACCACGTTTCCAGGCTTATCTTCCCACCCCTTCCATATTTTATGCTGCGATTAAAGTAAAGAATTGTGATTTTCCCTGCATACCCTGGCTTTCCTCTCCTCTGCACGTTTCCTCATGCTAAGGCCTAGAATGCCTTCCCCTGCTTCCCGACCTCTCACCAAATCCACAGACCTATCAGCATCTTCCTCATCTTTAATGACCCTGTCCAGGTGTGTCCTCCTCTGATGCCCCTGGTCTCAGGTGTGTCCTCCTTTGAGCACCTGTGGCTCTTGACATTTTGCACTCTTGCCCATCTTGTCTACTATTGAATTACTCATATACTAATTTGTTTCTTCTCCTCAGACAATCCTTTCAAGATCTGTGAAGGAACGGACTGTGTTTTTATCTATCGTTTTCATTCCCTTCTTGCCCACCACAGTGCCCTGCCTAGTGCTCAGTCAATAAATATTAATTAATTGACACATCTTTCACTGAACCTATGGTCTCGTCTGGAATAAAATCTGCAAAGGAGTTTCCCCTAAACGATAGGTCTTAACGGTCCATCTTTCAAGAAGCCAGCGTTGAACTTGAGCTGAGGACGTGTTAAGAGGCTGTGGAGAATAAGCCCTCGCCCCAGCCCAGCTGAGCCTCTTTCTCCTGAATATTGTGGCTGAGCATTACAGCCAGGAAAGCTTATATGATACTTTTATTGCATTAGCAATTTTCCATATCAGATTCACTAAATACACAATGGAAACCATTTAGCAAAAAAAAAAAAAAAAAAGACCAGATTTTTAATGTGATATGGCTACCACAATGAAACTCTAATTCGATTCCACAGAAAATTGCTAACACGATATGCTGACCCCCTTTCCCCCAGCAATAGCCACAGAAAAATTGATACTGTTTTTAGTGTACATGTTTCAAATTGTGCTCACAAAAGAAAAAGCCGACTGCTGCTGAGATGAGCTTCTGCTCTGGTCAGATGGGATGTATAAAGAATCTTGTTATCAGTCTTGTCGGAGAGCTGAATCTCCCTTCTGTGCCTTGTTGATTACATTACCAAACCATACTAACTCCCATGGTAAGGTGCATCATATTCTGTTCAGTGGTTCAGAGTGAATAGAGTTAATATAATGTAAAAAATATAATTTGTATATAAATATCATGGCTATATAATATAGTCCATTATACAGTTTTAGTTGGGAAATCTAATCAACTCAAACCAGTTTTTTAAGAACCAGAGAGACTATGCATAAAACTTAAATGCAAAACTTAAAATGAAAATGCATAAATAGAGACAAATTATAAATATGTGTATACAAAGCTGTAGCACTTCAAAAGTCCTAAACACTGATGAAATGTTGGTTCTCCCCTTTCATTCCCTACACCGTATTTAATTCAAAGATGAAAATTTAACCCAGGAAATCAGTGTAAAGGAGTCCTACAAAGTTCTGATTTTTCCAAAAGGACAGTTTTGATTTTCTTTTTCGGGGGAAATACTAAATATCAAAGTCCCTCTCTTTCTCTCTCTCTGCATCTCTCCTGATTATCTGATATCACTGGTGGGGATTATTTTTATATATGAATTTTCCCTTAGGGAAATTTAATATTTCATATCTGACCACTTCCCTTCCCCTTTTTCACATTTAACTTTGAGGGACTGTACGTAGGAAACGTGTATTCCTCAA